CTGCATAAGCGGGTCCAACATTAGTAATGTAGTATAAGCCCAGGTAAGTCTAAGGGCACTACGTAGTGTCAAAGGTAACGCGAGGGTTTTGCAGTAGATGCGAGATACCCCGCAGGCTTGGGGCAAAGTAATTCCGAACCGTAGGGCCATCATTTATAGTTGGTGATTTTTGCCTGAGGTCTGTTTGGAGTTCAAGAACAAGTCACACAAGCAATCAGTTGCCCTCGGCCGAGGGCTCTTTGAAAATGAGTTCTGGGCTTAGGGCTTCTGATTAGTAATCCTCAGAGCTGTATGATAGTCATGAATTTGAACTTCACTTCGTTGAATTTTACTTCACCGTAGGTGCCCAAAGCACTGCAGCATCAGTTATGAGTGATAAGAGGGGGGACCTAGGGGTAGCATAGGGTGTGGTCAGGGATCCCAGAACTGAACCCAGAACCCTAAACCAAATAACATTGCAAGCTCCATCCTGAACTGGATACGTGCTGTAGGGATTGGAATCAGTGAAGACAAAGTTGCTCGGGCTTGTCCTGAGTCCATGCACCAAAGCACATCCAGAACCCTAAGCCCCTAAACGCTTACAACCTAAACCCTTAATTTTGAAATCTACCAAAAACCCTAACCCCCTAAAGTCTAAAACCTAAACCCATACAAAACTGAACGAGCCGAAGCATTTGTCTCCGCCCATATACGCCTAAACTACCTTGGCGTTTCACGTAGACTATGCTGTCTGGGTATGGGGGTATAGGGGGTTTGTACATCGTTTAGGTTTAGGGTGTAGGGCTGTTACCGCAAGAATGGAGAAACTGAACTGGAAACTGGGCTTCTATAAGGTTTTAAGGGGAGAGAGATCAGTGCCTAGTTGGATGTTCACGGTAATTCTAACCCAGTATTACAGGCACTTTATTTCTAGCCAGATTACGGACCTTTAAATGGGCTTGAACTAGGTTTTAAGTACAATGACTAGTAGATGATAAGTACGCGAAACCCTCTATGACACAAGCTCTATGACCCTAAATTGGGTTACGCATGAACCTCCAAGAAGTGCATACGGCAGTTCCCCTTCATAGGGGAACCCCAATACAGACCCCAAAATATTATAATCCTTATTATAGGGACCCCTAAAAAAGGTAGCCCTTTATTTCGGGAAACCCATACACTTGCAGCGCAGTTTGCCAAGGTAGGCTCACCAATACCACGGATCAGTCTTTCGGCATTGCTCCGTGGTCGCCAGAAGCATTGGGTCTAGGGAAGGGTTTAGGATTTAGGGTTTAGGGTAGTAGAATCTACATTAGATCAACCACAAAACCCCTGGGTCCTCTGCTCAAATCAGTCTATTGTAGATTTTCACCATGACTTGACCGTTCTACGTGCAGCCTCACTCACGTACCCATGAACATGGGTGTTGCGGTTCGGTCCG